CGAGACCAAGACCAGTCTCGACGACTACAACACTGTACCCTAACCTCTGATTATTTAATGAAGCATTTCTTCCTTCCAAGAACAGAAACAAAACAATAACAAAAACCCCCAAAACATGAAAAAAGACTTTAAAAACTGACCAAACATGTGCACTGGTCACCTTGGTCCAATTCTATAAATTTTCAACAATGTCAATTTTAATTCTGAGCTCTCTTCCCCTCCCTGGCTCCCCCCTCCCCCTAAAAAAAGAAAACTGTAAAAGGTCAATGGAATACAATACAGGCCGGTACCGTTACGTGCAATTTTTACTCCTCTCTTTAGGTACAGGGTCGAGAGGGGTCGGACTGTTGTTTTAAGGGTGTTTTCAAACATTGCCTCCTTAACAACAGTCAGAAATACACTGCTGCGACACTTTATGTACATGTACACTCTTATGGAGATCTGTGTCAAGAGGTGTCATTTCTATGTAATATGCACGGCAGAGCTGAAGACGCCGGGCTTCTTTGCAAACGTGTCTGGTTACAAACTTAAACACTTGAGAAACTCTGCTTCTTTCTTTTACTAATTTTGGTTCCTGCTTTTCCTGAGTGAAAAGGCCCTTGACATATGTAAAATGTTTTTGAATCCACTTTTACAATGTACCAGTATCCTCAACTGTGCAATTATAATGTATGCTCTCTCCAGTGTTTCTAATTTCAAGACAGGTGATGCAGAGATTTCTCAACTTTCAATGCACGTCTCACAAGTACATGTGCAATATATGTTCAGTACATTTACCGGTACATGTACATGTACCGGTAAATCTACATGTATTTTTTTTCTTTAGAACGCTTTCTGAATATGCAATTCAATGTGTACAGCTGTTTCCCGTATTATCGCACTTAAGCCAAAGGTTTTGAAGGATCTGGGTTCTAGCAAGAAAATTTTAAACAGCCAAAAATTCAGATCTACCGTACAGGTACATGTACATTTTACAAGTTCATGTAGGTACAGTGTACATATAAATACAACTGTGCATTTCTACAGCCAATTGCTTTCTTACTTAAAGAAGAGTACATTTTTTTGGCTCACAAATTGGCAATACCTCAGGATAACTGCCAAGGTTTGTAAAATACTTGCCATTTGACATTGTTTTTGGCTGACCAGTAATTCAGGATAACAGCCAAGTTGTGAAATATTTGCCATTTCCAACAATGACGAGAGACAGTTGGAATCCTGAAGGTGATTACAAAGAAATGGTATTAACCCTAACCCTCCTCAATCCTTCACCTGTTGGAGGACTGAGGAGTGTTAGGATTAATAATGTTCAGTTTCTCAAGTACAATTTGTTTCTGACAAGTACATGTAACAATCACGCTTTCGTTTACCCTTCAGCAATGGCTCACTGTGTAATAAGGATCTGGAAAATAATGTCAAACAACTTCTTTAAACGGTTACCGGTGAAATGTGGGGGGGGACCAGTGGTTAATTGCCTGAGGCCTACATGTACATGAAGGAAGAAACAAGAAGCTTTCTCTAATACGTAAAACTTCAATACAAGTTACATGCAATGACACTTCCCACAACCACATGCTAGGCAACTTAATTACTACGACAACCAATGCTGTCAGTACAGCTTCGAATAATGTAGGCCTACACGTTTGGGTACCCTTACCAAATTTCTGTCCTGAGAAATGCACGAACATGTACATACATGTAAGGTGCATTCCGGTACATGTACTGTTGATTTGTACATGTACCGGTACAATGAGCACACAGGTACACACGTGCTAATGCTGGTA